ATCAACGTGCCCAAACGTTTTGTGAATATGAGTATTATTTTGGGGCGGAGGTAGTACTTTTTTTTTTATAAAATTGGAGAAACAAAACAAAACAGTTTTTTGTTTAAAAATAAGCAATAACCAAACAACCCGTCACTGTCATTTGGATGGAGGATTATTAAGGTTTTTTTGAGGACCTATATATATGTGTGTGTGTGTGACATTCTACAAAAAATGAAGGTATAACATAATAAGTGATCATACAAGCATTTGAATCAACATCCATTATCAAAATAAAAGATTAAGGCCTCCAAAGACTTCTACTCCAAAACCCTCCATCCAAACTGATTTTCTATAAAAATGATATAGTTCATAAAATAATGATCACATAAACAAAACAAATGAAAGTAAAAAACAATCTAAAGAGCAGGAAATGTTACCAAACAAGTGCACATGAACTTTGAAGAGTATCAGTGCATCATGTAGCCTTTCTTCTGTTTCAAATCCTTCCATTATTATGCTTAAGCGCATCTCTTTATGGACAGAATATGCATACACAATGCAAGTAACAGTACCCGGGAACGTCTACAGTTTTGGGGTGGTCTTACTTGAGATACTGACAGCTAGACTGCCCGTTGATGAAGCGTTTGGGGAAGGAATGGATTTAGTGAAGTGGGTCCACGGTGCATCTGCTAGAGGTGAAACACCAGAGCAGATTCTCGATGCCACACTTAGTACCGTTTCTTTTGGTTGGAGGAAAGAAATGCTAGCAGCATTGAAGGTTGCATTAGTCTGTACAGACACCACACCTGCAAAACGGCCCAAGATGAAGAAGGTGGTTGAAATGCTTAGAGAGATCACAGAGATTTGATGAAAAGAATTAATTTATATTATTATGTGTTAATTCTTAATCCTGCGGGGGATTTCCTGAATCGCCCAATTTGGAGGTTATTATGAGACAATGGTGGAAGAAAAAAAGTTGATCATCTCAATTGTGAAGCAAAGTTATGAATGTGAATATGTAATGGTGTAGCCTTTCTTCCATGATTATGATTTATCTCTTCTCCATGTTTCCTAGGCCTTTAGGCTTCTTGTTGAGGTATTTATGAGGTTATGACTTATGAGAAAGTAAAACCTCATTATAAAACTGAGCGGTAAGAATAAAGTTAGCCCATGCGATTTCATAAGGAGTCCATATGTGACTACTTTTTGTAGACAGTCACCATGAAATGTGTGAACATTGACAGTGTTGGTGGATATTTTGATGTGCTACTCGCTATACAAAAGCAAGGTCCTTGTATCTATCTCTTGTGAGAAAATAGGGATGAAACTCATACAACTTTGGAATGAAAAGAAGGAAGAACAGTTCATGGGACTATGGGAGCATTTGTCACATTTCAGCATCACCTACACGGCTACACGGTTACACACTTACACCAACACGAGATAAATAGTTCAAGGAAGACTGCTTTCTATACATATAGTCATGGACCCGGTTCGGGCCGCCCGGCCCGGCCCGCCACTGTGCGGGCCCGGAACCGGCCCGGTTCTCGGGTCCGGGCTCGGGCCTTGTATTTGGCGAACCGGCCGGGTCGGGCCCGGGCCCGGGCCGAATTGATTTTTATATTTTTCATTTTTTTTCATTTTTTGGGGTTAGCTGGGTTGGGCTTGATGGTTAGGAGGGGTTTGGGGGGGGGGGGGGGTGGGGGGGTTAGGAAAGCAAAAAAAAAAAAAAGATTATGACCGAACCGGAGGCCCGGCCCGGACCCAGAACGGACCCGGTGGCTACCCGGGCCGGTCCCGGGCCTTCCTTCCCAAAAAAAAGCCCGGTCGGGCCCGGCCCGGAACCGGCCTAGCCCGGGTCCATGACTATATACATAGTAGAGCAGTCAATGGATAGTGTTTATGGAAGTATTTTTAAATTTTTGTTCAGTTTTGAGAAGCTGTTGTGAGTAATGGGGGTTAAGACTCGGGGTTCCATCCTAAAAGTTTAACCTCATAGGAGGAGTAGCCCTAAAGTCTTAAAAATAGAAGGTTCCCTAAAAATAGTGTTATTGTTTATGGCTATGTTTGGCACACAAAAGGCTCTAGCTTCTAGCTTCTCTATTCTTTAAAAAGACCTTAAAAGACTCTAGTTGTATGTTTGGCATGACATCTTTTGAGAGCTTTTGAAAAATTAAAAGATCTTTTTTGAGATGCTACCGGGTGTAGCATCTGAGAAAAGCTCGTGACTTTTAGTATTAATTAGTCCTAACAGCTTGTATACCAAACCAAACTAAATCAAACAGTCAGTTTTTTACCAAACAGCTATCACCTTTTCTTTTTAAGATCTTTTCAATCACTAAAAGCTAACAGTTACTAAAAGCTTGTAAAAGTATCTTTTTAGCTAGTTGTGCCAAACATACCCATAGCTAGTTGTAAACCGGACTTGACAATATTGGGGTGTATAAATGGGCCAAACAGACCCTTAACAAGTTAGCCTTAATCATGAGTGCTAAACAAACCGTCAAATCACAACCGGGCTTGGAATTGACTTTGGTACCATGTTAAGACCTGTGATTCCATCCTAAAAAGTCAATTTCTAACACACAAAAGTAAATTAATAAAATCTCGCTCTTCTCTTAGTAACCTATATTTCTAACTACTTTTTATCAAGAAAGGCAATCACAATGTCTACATCTAGACATTGTGGATATTTTTTTTTATTACCAAAAACAACGAAAGAACGTTTAAATAAGAAAAGTAATGTTCTATGTGGTAAGGAGTAACTTTTACTTGGCTGTGTATCTCATGTCAGTTGTGCATTATGTTCGTATTTTCACATTGGAGATGCTCTTAGAGAGATTTGCCATAGAGAATTTAGCCTAAATAGGACTAAAACGTTTGTAAATTCCAAAATGGAACTGCCATGTTTTTAATTCCCAAAATGGGACTAATTACTGTCATGTTTTGGAAGTACCAGACTTTAAACATGGCAGTATTTTCCAAACTTGACAGTCCTATTTTGGGAATAAAAACATAACAGTCCTATTTTGGAATTTACAAACGTTTTTGGTCCCATTTCAGGAACTTTCCCTTTGCCATAAGAAAGGGGAGGGGGGGGGGGGGGGGGGGGGGGAAGATGATTTAAATTCTTTGGAAAAGTTGAACTCCTTTTCAAATGCTTTAATTCACCGTTCCTATAACTTTACCTCAGGTAAAAGGAAGTTTTCAAAGTCAAATTTGCTAAAATCTCACTTATTGTCAAGTATGTCACAAGAGTGAGTCCATAGGCCGAGGTCGATATCAATAGAATTTGAAATATGGAAAGAAATTGTTATTGAAATTTTGACAGAAGAATATGCATGTCTAAACATGCAAGAAGAATGTCTTTCTCAACAATTTTTAAATTTTACTCCGGCACGAATAATTAATACCCCATTGTATACTATTTTGACTTATATTCGAACTTGTGAACTCGACATGCCAATTGTTTTTACGGAGTATCTATATAATAATAATAAGGTAGTTTCTATGGTACCCATAAGATACCGTACTTTTGTCCACATGGACCAATGAAAAGGTAGCAAGTGAATTATTTAAATCTAAATTAAAATTGATAAAGTGATATGGTCCAATCAAACGAATGCTAGGTATGGTACCTCTGTTTTTAGAAAGGTACCGGAGTTGTCACCTAATCTTAAAAGCTTATAATTGTCAATGCCAGTTAGGGTATTTTAGGGATGAAAAATGTGTTGGTGTAACATCAAGTAATATGCAGTTGTACCACACGGTCTAGGCATTGTACATTTAATTACTATTGGCAGCTTTATCCGTTTATCCGTCTAACGTATTATTTTGTCATTCCGTTAATTCAACTTTCATTGCGGACTTCTACAATCTACACCATCCAATACTTCAATCCCTTCCATGTCTCTCTTATTTGAACTCCACCAGTCCACCAATCCATATTTGATACACCAGCAATATAGGTTGTCCGTATGGAAGCTGACAACGGCAGAAGGGTTTGATGCTCAGTTAAGATGTTATAAGGTACGCTCCTTTCCTCCTTCTATTGCTTTGAGTGGATTTGTTTTTGGATTGTCAAATTAAATATGTGTAATCTCTAATTCCTATTTACCTATTCGTTTCAGGTTTTGGAATCCATGTTTATATGTTTAGTTCTTGGAGTTGTTGATCGTACAAGGTAGATAAAGGGGAATTGAAACAAAGCAAGTTTTGTTCTGCCTTTCAATTATGTTGTTGTCATTTAATTTGTTTTTTAAGTTATTATTAGATCTATAAATTGTACATGTGATTATTTTAACAAATTGTAGTGCACATTTTCGTCTATAATTAAGATTAAGATGTTGCAGGCTGGATAAGGAAATGCTCACTAAGTGTTTGTTAAATGGTATAAACCAGATTCATCACACCAATTTGTGGAAGCTTTGGTCCTTGTCTATGCCACATATTCATGATTAGAGACAAAACATCACTCCTCCGTCCCGCAAAATAGTTCTCGGTTTCCTTTTTGGGATGTCCCAAAAAATAGTTCACATTTCCTTTTTTGGAAAGTTTTGTGTGGCTCACATCCATTTACCTTTTTCTTACACAATCACAACCATACATTTTCACTTTATTCCCACTTTCTTAAACCCCAATCCAAATCAATGCGGGAACTATTTTATGGGACGGAGGGAGCATTATTTTTTTATTTCTTTTATCTCGAGTAGAAGTTATTTGGTTCTAACGAATCCATATCTGGCCTATATATAATTACTTTTTCATCTCTTATGGAGATACACAATCAGTTAAGTTATGATTACTTAATACGGAGTAACACTTTTTCTTCATAATCCCACACAAACTATTTTTTTTTGAGAGCCCACAAAAACAATTTTAAGATTTCTTTTGGGTCAAAGTAGAGAAGAATAGGGAATACAATTTTAAGATTTCTTCTGGCTAGATTACAATTTCAGTAATTCAGTTTTGGAAACAAGTGTTCACACAAAAAGTTATCTGCATCATTTGAGTTTTTTTTTTACTATTGAAACAAAACATTCTTACCAAATGATATGCTCACAACGTAGTTACCAAAATTCAGTTTTCGTAGTTGTTCAGCACATCTATCTCAGGAATGAAAAATCAAGCACTTTAAACTAATAATTCAATGGTGTCTAGAGATTGAAAGGTGTAATTCAACCTCTTAATAATCATCTTCCGCCTCATTTTCGGCAATGTTGAAGTATCTCAATTCATACACATTTTTATCCTTGTTTGAAGATATAACACGTAGCCAATCTCGCACATTGTTCTTCTTCAGATACTTCTTTGTTAAGTATTTCAAATACCGCTTGGAAAAGTTGGAATTTGCAGTGACGGTAATTTTGGTCTTATCTCGGGTGATGGTAACTGAGTCTCCTAGCGCTCCGGCCTTACCGCCGACCTTGATTCGCTCCTGGAGGAACTGCTCCAGAGAGGCGTTATCCATGATCTTGTCATCCACCGGCTTCGAGCAGTCGATGACGAAGGTCACACCCTTCTTCTTCCCACCTTTCGTGGCGGCTCCGCCGCTTCCTTTACTCATTTTCTCCCTTTTTCCCGGCCAACTCCTTCACGTTTGATAGGGGAGCCATCTGCATTATTTGAGTTTGCACACAATTGATACACCAAAATCATTAAATATATATTCTCTTCAGCTTAATAATATTTCTTTTATGAAAGGTAATGCTAATTATTTGTTACCCTTCCATATTATTATTATTTAAAAATTAATGTATTTTTATTTACCTGTAGACTTTTACAAGTGGACATCTTTGAAATAAATTATCAATAGTTATGTCCACTTTGTCATATTGATAAACTATCAAGTAAATAAATTTACTTGAGTTTAACACTATTTTGATTGGTCCGAGTGTCTTGATTCCTTCCATGAATCAACCACATCATCATTATAATAAAATTAATATAACACATATGTTCAAAGAAAAGAGTCACTTCCTAAAGCTAGATTTTAGAAGGGGATTGAAGTTACAAAAGGTTGTACTATCACAAGTTACTCTAAATTTTTCCAAACTTTCATGTCTAAAAAGTTTGGCCGGGGGAAATGGTTTGGGTCATTTTTCTCTGTTTTATTTCATGTGTGATGTATAATTTAGAAGGAAATCAACTAGATGGAGATGTATCACATATGATCAGAACAAGGTGGATGAAGAGTCATCGAGATTGCTAAAACCATGTAACTAGAAAAAGGGAAAAAGGTCAAATATGTCCTTTTACTATTTTTTTACCATCATTTAAACTCATGTACTAAAAAAGGCATCATATAAATACACTTTTAAAAAATTGACCAATTTGACCATTTATTCAGTTTTTGACCTATAATAGCAGGCTTTTATATTAAAAACGGTAAAAAATTATTAAAATTTGTGGAAATATAGACAAAAATTGTAAAATTTTTGAAAATTTGAAATTATTTGAATATTCCACATTTATTTAAATGACTTTTACATTTTATATTTTCTATTTTTATTTTCACTTTTTTCAGAATTCTGATTTTTTAATGTTTTTAAACTATTTATATATTTTCACATTGAGAGTTTTCCATCATTCGGGTCTTATACCGATATATTTCATCTTTCAGGTCCCAGATTGATAATTTGGCTATCTTTCAGGTCCTGGAATTATAAAATTCCTTTATATTATTGTGACATTATTTTTCAAATATATATAATTTTTTAAAAGATCTATATATCAATACTCCTAATTACTACGTATTATTTTTTAAAAAGAACCTACTAAAGCAAGTCAAAATGGCTTGGTTGATTATGTTTAAAAAGTAAGTGTTTTTATATGATTGCTTTCTTTAGCAGAGGGGCTGAAGTAATGGATTAGAAATATACACAATTAATTTCATCATGTTCCAACCTACATGTGTAAAAATCTTATGTACATACAATTGTGCATAAAGAGAATGTATATGATATTTTATTGAATAAAACATTGGGCATTAATCCAATCGCGCAACGCGCGTCACAAAAACTAGTAATAATATATAAAAACGGAATAGTCTGAGAGCATTTAGGCAGGAAGTGCATCGCGTATTGAAAGCCTATTCGGAATAGTCCACCGCAATTGTTTATTGTACTTTAAATAAAAGTGATCCCACATTCTCTCGCAATTAAGGGCATCCACATCCATATATTATTTAATTTATTTTTGAGATCATTTTGATGATGTGGATGATTTTTTCTGGGATCATGGATGAAGAGTTGAGATTATTTTATAAGATTGTTTGATAAAATAATCTGGTATCAAATTCTAAAGCTAGATTATTTTGAGATTATTTCCAACTTCTAGGCATATACTCATAATTATGGTGATGACTAGCTTTGTAGTTCGTGCATGCTCATGCTCCTCCTATCCAAGGTAAATTAAGATCATGAATGAGGAGAAATTTATTGATTTGAAGATTATTTGAGATTATCTTATGTGGAGGTGACATGCAATAATAAGCCATGAAAAACCCTAAAGTCGAGGATCATTAAGTTGATCGAGGCATGGTGTAATACACTAATACGCTTAAGCAAAAAAGTGTAATCTTTAATTGATTTAATCTGGCCTTTTAGTTTCCCTAGGAAATTAATTATTTGTATGTGGCAAGGCTTTTAGTTTCCACCTACATGTTGCCTATATAAGCTGCCATGTGCGGTAATAGAGAACCCACCGCTTAGTGTTTTATGCAGTTATGCTGAGTCGGAGAGTTTCTGCAAATTGTCAAATGTCAACATACATTTCTTTCTTCCATTTTGCTTAATCAATTTATTTGTATCTTTTGTATTTTTATTTCTAAAAATGTTGTTTAGTTTCCAATTCCACCTATTGTGCTTCACAATAGGTGTGGACAAGTAGCGGAGCCACCATTGTTCAAAACTATTCACATGAACATCCAAAAATTTGAAAAAAGTGTAAGTATACATGGATAAATTTAGTGTAATTATTTAATGTTCTTTAAATTCTTGGTTGTAAAAACAAATTGAACGCCCAAAATGCAAATTCAAAATCCGCCACTGGGTGTGGTATTACTCTGCTGAGACAAGGCTGTTTATCTTTATTCATAAAAAATGATAAAAAATGGCTTTATATAATTACAGTGTCGTATATTGTACGTAATTGATAACACACCAGCTGATCGACCTTTGGTTTCATTCTATTATTGCTTTGCTGGGCCACAGACAAAAGCTTTGAGTTCTTTCTGCATGTTTTGCTTAATATGTGAAGTGTTTTTTTTATTATGGGTTTGTAATGTTTCATTTAAACAGGTGCTTGATAAACTTATGTCAATATAGGTTGATTCATCGGATGAAGTTTCAACTCCAGTGAAATCAAATGCGAATAGGACATGGACTAATAATACGAATGTATGTGAAAGGTTGAAGAGAGACTTGGTTAGAGACTTCTCTTCCGGCCAACACATCATCAAAGAAGTTAAAGGCTAAAATTAAGATTGAGAAGTTGGATGCCTTGATGTGTCAGGGTGGATTTTTGTTTTGTTTATCTATGGTTATATGGATGAATATACTATTGGTTTGGTTTGACATTTGGTTTGTTTTGGTCCGACATTCTGCCACAATTATGGTGGAACTTTATGTATTTTTGTTTGGATTTGGTTTGTTTGTGAAGCTTTGGTTTATCCTCAACATTAGATTTAGATCACTGAACTTTATGCATGTTTGCTTAATGAGTGAAGTTTTTTTTTTAATTATGGGTTTGTGATTGTGGTTACTATTTATTACGATAGTATACTCATAGAGAGCATCATCTATTTAATGTTCCTTTACGCTAGATTGTAGATATTGTGAAGAGGTAATTAATAGACATCATCATCTTGGATGTTTTAGTTTTATGCAGGTTTTTATAATACGGACGAATAATGACGAGCACTTTGTCACGGTGCGTCAAAATAAATTCAATACTAGCACTAATACGTAGTATAGTGAAGTAGAGTTCGTATCCACAGGGAAAAGAATAATTCTCTTTTTATGAACTAGTAAATAAAAGGGGGTTTTTGGTATTGTTGGAATTTAATTAATTAAATACCAAGATGAAGAACTTATGTGAGATTTAATTCAAAGATAAAAAGGACTTGGCATTGCTACTTTCCACTTGTTGATATATTTTAGTCGATCATTGTTATATCTATAACTTATCCCCTCTCGAATACTCAATCGAGGAGTATATCCAATTTATCGAGGGTAGTTATTAACAACGACCGTTCATTAATAACCCTTACTATTAGTCAAGTATAGAACACCACCATATACCGACTTGATAGTAGCATTTAATCTCTTAACTCGTTGATGAAATCAATTGAGATTGATAACCTCAACACAACGGTTTCGGTTTAACCAACAAAATTAATCCCTCTTAAGTTTATTAACCACGACCGTGCATTAATAAACCGAAGTTACTTACTTGTGAAACCATCAACGATTAACCATCGGTTCGTTGAACGTTTCTAGTAGTAATTAATGTTGAGATGTTAACTAATTGTCATCTTAGCAACACTCCCCAACATTAACATAGAGATAGATTAAGGGAAGAATTAATATTCAAGGAAGAAGATTAAATATGAATAATCCTACTATAACTAATGTCAAGATGTTATCTAATTTTCATCTTAGTAACACTCCCCAACATTAATATATAGAGGAAGAAAATAAATACTACTATAACTAATGTCGAGATGTCAAGTAATTGTCATCTTAGCAACACTCCCCAACATTAATATATAGATAGATTAAGAGAATAATTAATATTCAAGGGAAGAAGTTAAGAAAATAACTCACAACTTTAATAATCAACAAGCTTCAAGAGCAACACCAAGAAATGGAAGTTTAGCTCCTCATTTGGAGACTAAACATGCTATAAAAATATAAAAGAAATACTATTCTAAATTGAGCTTAAGAGTATGGAAGAAGGGATGATTTTATTGTGAAGGAAAAGGGGTGTATTTATAGGTGTTTGGAGGTGGCAGGGTTGTGTACCCGATCGGGTATATAGGGTACCCGATCGGGTATTTTAGGCAGTTTCCCGGAAAATCACTTTTCTAGACATACCCGATCGGGTATGTAGGCCTACCCGGTCGGGTATGAGCCAAAAAGTCAAAATCCTGCACGTTCTTTTGTCTCTCCAGATTCTGATTTTGACACCCGAATCAACTCAATACCCGATCGGGTATTGCCTATACCCGACCGAGTATATGAAATATTTTTTCAATCTTCTTTTTATCTTGTCCCCTTGCACTTTCCTTGATCTTTTGGGGTCCAAACTTGATCCTTTGGATGATCTTGTCCTGTTTTAAGCTCAGAATAATCCTAATCTAAACAAATTACATCTATCTAAGAAAATTAACTAATTACACCAAAAGTGTGTAATTTTCCAAACAACAACAATAAAACTAGTTAAAATAGAAATAATACATAATAAAAATACAACTCTATCAACTCCCCCATGCTTAGTTTCTTTACTCGTCCTCGAGTAAAGTCAATGTTTCATCAGCACTTTAAACAATCATGAACAAGTAAAAGACAACCAAGT